TAAAAAATAGAATTAGAATAGAGAGTGCTAGAGTTAGAGGGTCAAAAAAAGATGGAAGAGATGTGTTTTTAGCCGTTCCTTAAAGATGGGACTGCTCGGATTGAGTTGGGCAGGTCATTCCACCCGGAGGGAACATTTAATGTAAAAGTCTGTGACTGAGATTTTGTGTGTCACGCCCATGGACGGTTTTGTGTCTGTTTTCCTCCCCTACGTGCTCCATGCCCATGTTTTCCCCCATGTTTGATTATGCCCTTATTTGGTATTTCCTGTTCCTGTTCCCATTATGTCCATTTGATTCCAGCTGTGTCCGTTTATTATCCCTTGTTAAGTTCAGTATTTAAAGTGTGTTCTGCCCCTTGTTTCTTGTCCAGTTTTGAAGGTCTACATAGTGCTACATGTGTGTTCCTGTCTGCCCTGTACTCCTCGTTTTTGGATTATTAAAGACTGTTGTTGGTGTTCTACGCATGTCTCCTCGTTCCTTGCTCCTCGCAGTAGTGCAACCGTGACAGAACACTGGACCAATACAAAATGACAGAGGCTGAGGACCGGCTGTGGTGTTTGCCGCAGGCTGGTCGGAAGTTGGAGAGATATGTGGAGGAATCCCTTGAGCTTTCCAATCGGGTGAGCTGGCACTACGCCGCTCTTGGTGCGTTTCCTGCTGGGGCTAGACGATGATACGATCCGCTGCGATCTCCCTACATGTGATTTTCCCCTGATCGAGCTGATTGGTCTTGTCCTTTATTTAAATGGTTCCGATTTCGAAGTGGAAGAAGTAACGGAAAATTTAAATTCTCCTCGTCCAGCCCCCTCTGGAACACGTCGTGTCTCCCCAGCTCACCCCACGCCAGGAACACCCACATACCTCACCAACGGCAACGACCACCTGACCAACCCAAGGTACCCCCGAGTTCTCCGAAGCTCCTCCCTGGTCCTCAGCCCAGAGCCGCCGACTGCTCCAAGTCAAGCCCGCCGGCCGCTCAGCTGTCAAGCCCGCCGGCCAATTCCCTCCCAAGCCCTCAGCTGACACCAGCTGTCTCTTTTATCTCTGCTCAAAGAAGGAGAATGCGGAGGAAGTTCACTGTTCACTGAGGAAGGAGTGCTACATGTGTGTTCCTGTCTGCCTTGTACTCCTGGTTTTTGGATTATTAAAGACTGTTGTTGGTGTTCTACGCATGTCTCCTCGTTCCTCGCAGTAGTGCAACCGTGACATTGTGTCTCTTTGGGATGGCACAATAATGCGCCATTCACTTGCAGAACGCAAGCTTCTAGAGGGCATGTAAGTCTGACGTAGTGAATTTAGGTACAGGGGTGCAGAGCCAGTGGTGGTTTTGTAGGCAAACATTAATGCCTTGAATTTTATGCAAGCAGCTATTAGTAGCCATTGCAAGTTGATGAACAGAGGTGTGACATGAGTTATTTTTGGCTCATTAAAGATTAATCTTGCAGCCACATTCTGGATTAACTTGACGAATTCTACAGCTGCTGCTACCTGAGCAGCCGCCTATTGGCTAAAACCACACTCTGTAAGTTTCAAGTTTGGGTCGGTACACACAGCCCCGCCCATCCCCTGCCAGCGGAAGAGAGAGACCTGTGGAGTTAGCCAACAGCTAACTATAAGACGAAATGATCTAATATGCAAGTCGCAAAACCAATGCCATGGCAGAGTCAGCAAAGAAACCAAAGAGGGTTTTGTCTGAGGAAGCGAAAAAAAAAAAGAGAGGGAGTGATTGGACACAAATCAATGTCGGATGGGCTTACACTTGATGGCGCAAGCTGAAAGAGGCAATGGTTTGCAAAACGGATGGAGACCTAGCCTTCCTGCTACTGGATTTGTAAAAAAAGTACTTTTTTATTTTTCTGTCCTGTACTTTTGAGCTTTTTGGAGCAGTTCAGTCGTTGAGTGGGATAATGTTATCAGCATCTATAGTTACCATGCTAGGCACTATTCTCATAGCGAGTTGAGTGTAGTGATAGCAACTGTTACACAAAACACAATGCCTGGTCGCGAGTGTGTTTTATATTTTCTTCCGAAAATATAACTACAGAAAAGTATTATTTTCGGAGGTTACTAAACACATTCATGTCCATGCGTTGTGTTTTGGGTGAATGAAAATGTGCTATGTAGCTAGCACACTATGTGCTAACTGCAAACAGCCAGCTGCTACCTCAGAGTATAGTTTGAGGTAGTATAGCCCAGTAGTATACCCCACGGTGTTGGCACCCATGGGGTAAACAATGAAGAGGAACTGCTGATTTAAAAAAGAGTGCTTTAGTACATGTACAGTTTATGAAGTGACATGATGTAACAGCAGTTTCTGCCCAAGTTACCTGGAAAAGTTGGTAACCTTGCTTCGTACACCTCCGGTTGTCTAAGTTGTTTCATACGATTGTTATGTAATTCTGTCTGTTGTAGTTTTCCCTTGTGTCTTACTGCAGTGATGTTACTACAAACACAATGTTTTTTTTTCAGTTATCTAGCACGCCGTGTAACTTCCACACTCAGCAAGAGACGCACACGTCTTCCTCAGCCTTCAGTGTCAAGTCTCACGGAGGAGTCGGACCATGATAGGTGTGTGTACCTTGACTAGTGTTTTTCAATCAACTGTAGATGACTGTTACCTTTGATTGTGACCAAAGCTCTGTCTGTAGTGGACAGCACATTCCAGGGCCCAGTTTATGGAGGGGCCCCTCTCTGACCACAATAGTGGACAAAGGTTTGCTACATTTTGATTGGATCTTGGTGGACTAACATAAGCAAACTGTCCAACGCCATCAGATAAAGATGCCAGGACAACAGCCAGACACCTCTTAGAGGGCAAGAAGAAGACCTTTGGTACAAAGCCCAGGAAGGACAGGACTTCTCATTGGTCAAAATGCAGTTTCTGCCCTCCACCCTCCTAGAGACTGTTTTCTAAGATTTGGCCTGTGACTGCCATAAAAAAATTTAAAAAAAAATCCTTAGGACCTCTGGACACAGCAGCAGTGGGTGAAACAAAGAAAGATCAAAAAGATCCATCCCCGCTCTGATGGAAACAGCCAATCACAGCACGGAAATCCGGGAAGGACAGGACTTCCTATTGGTCAAAATGCAGTTTCTGCTCTTCACCCATCAACAGACTGATTCCTCAGGTTTTGGCCTTTGACCGCTATAAAAATTCCTTAGGACCTCTGGACGCAGCAGCAGTGGGTGAAACAAAGAGAGATCAAAGAGTTCCATCCAAATCCATTCATAACTATGTTCTCAAACCTTAAACTGATGCAAACTACAACACACATTACACAAACTCAGCTGTTAATGGACAAATTAATGCATGCATGACAGTTCAATCTTCTTCCATCATGTTTGGACTTAATGTGTTCGTAACATTGCCAAAGGTATTCTAGTTGTGGTTTGGTAAGTGAATAATGCATTGTTAAAACTTTAGTGACACTTTTCTAAATGTGTGTTTGGACTATGCAAATAAGTTCCACACCGTGTCCCCCCACTCTGATGGAAACAGCCAATCACAGCCTGGAAATGGAGAAGCACCAGATTGCTATCCCCTCCTCATCGGAAAGAGATAAAGGTAGCTTCCCAAGAGACACTCCTGGTTCTGAGTCTCCAGCCTGCTTCAGGGAAGGCAGCAACAGACACACCCATTCGGAGCCTGCGGCCCAATACAGGGGAGACGGCAACTGATACCACAGTTCTGAGTCTCGGTCCTGTAAGGGGAGAGACACCAACAGATACAACCCATTCGGAGTCTTCCACTACAGGGGAGACGGTAACTAATACAATCCTTCCGAGTCTCCCATCCAGAGACACAATAGCAGATACACAGTTCTGAGTCTCTGGCCTGCAAGGGTGAGACACTAGCAGATACACTCGTTCTGAGTCTCCCATCCTGAGAGACAGAAACATCAATGTTCTGAGCCTCTGGCCAATGCGGGAAGAGGCAATAACAGATACCAAGTCCTGAGTCTCCAGCTTGTGAGGCAGCAACAGATACGACCACGTTATGAGCCTCCAGCCTGTGAGGAGAGAGATATTCTACGTTTAGAGTCTTTGTTCAGCGCACACACATCTCATACTTATTCAGAGAAATAAATATTCTCAGGACAGCAATGTGTAGTGCAACATCTTACACAAACTCAGCTGTTAATGGACAAATTAATGCCTGAGAGACAGAAACATCAATGTTCTGAGCCTCTGGCCAATGCGGGAAGAGGCAATAACAGATACCAAGTCCTGAGTCTCCAGCTTGTGAGGCAGCAACAGATACGACCACGTTATGAGCCTCCAGCCTGTGAGGAGAGAGATATTCTACGTTTAGAGTCTTTGTTCAGCGAGACAACAACAGATGCAGCACGTCCTGAGTCTCCAATATAAAGAGAGACAAAGCGAATCGACCAAGCTCTGTGTCTAGCCCAGAGAGACTGAAGACACACAGACATTTGCAACAAGTTAAGCTCCGGTGAGCAAACCTTCACTTCAAGGTACTTTTGCTTGCGTGTTCCAGGAAAGGACCTTCTGCACATATTCCAGGGCCACATCTGCATGTTCCAGATTTTAGGACCCTTTGGTGCTCCAGGAGATCAGCATCCTACAGTGCTTCATGTTCAAGACTGTTGAATCGGATTCCTGCTCCTTTCCCCACTACATTGTGCCAGCACAACCAATGGATGAAGTCACGTTCATCTGACTGCTCACTCAACAACAGAGAACATAACTATCACTTATCCAAACCTCTTCCAGAGACCTTGGCATTGTTGTGTATTATCAGTATATGATTTTTCTAATTGACATTAGATGTTATATAGCTGATTGCAGTTGATAACAAATAATCTTTCACATATTTGTTTGATGCATAATAAGGTCCTTCACCTTATTTGTTTCAGAGTAGCAACAGTTTATCTTTCCAGATAACGTAGCTCTGACAAAGCAACACCCAACATAATCACTTGCATTTTATGCATCTTATGCGCTTTATTCCTTTTTCATTAATGGTATTCATTTAGTAGTTGTTGATTACTCTTGTCTATCTTTTGTTAATAAAATCTATTTCATTACACTTGTGTCTTTCTTGTGTTGATGATACAGAAAGCGGTTCTACAAGTTAGAGATCCCACCAATCTTTCCTATGTGATGTACTCATAACCACACCTTAAGTGGCACGTGATTCAAATATCATAACGTCATTGGTGATGTTAGTACCCATCACTACACTATTTCGCCTCCCTAGGTTGGCGAAAGCAAATTCACTACATGTCTGACTCAGAGAAGACTTTGCAGTTGGAGGGATCCATGAACTTGAGAAAGACCCAGGAGTTGCAGTGTTAGAAGCCAGGTGATTTTGTTTGACATGGTGACCTGGTGATTTCTTGAATGCCCATTGTCTTTTTCTATTCTTATTTCTTTTCTGCTATGGTTGTAGTATGCTCTCCCTCAGTGTTACAGAGGAAGATCTTCATGACTCTCCAGATGAAGAAGCAGTCAATGACCTGAGGAATAGCACGCAAGTCTTGATCAGTCATCGTTTTATTTATTTTTTTACCAACCTGTATGGCTCTGTGTTTATGTTCAGAATTGACATGGATGAGCGGTGGACTAACCGTAGATGCTGTGAAGATGAAGACAGATCTGATGAGGACTATGTTCCTTTTCTTTAGCTACGGTATGCTGCAGATACTTGCTGCATTTCAAGCAGAAATATGTTGAAGGGCAGTTGCAGATACCAGTCCAGAAATTCACTTTTTTATTTTGCTTGTCTACACAGTGTTGGTGGTGCAGCCTCAAATGCCACTGACATCAACCGGCTTCACAAGATAAGTATGGATGAAGCTGTGCTTGATGTAGTGGTGCCAGATCCCCCAGAAGAGGACATGTCTGGCATTCCTGACCAACAAAAGGTTGATTGTGAAGACGACCTGGTTGGTAAAAGTGCCTGCATCGCATCAACCTGAAGACCCTTGCCTCGTATCTCCAGTTGCCCATACAAGTGTGCAAGCATGTTAACAAAGCAACTGGAGGTTCATGTCCTGGTATACCACCTTTTGAACTTTCACTGAACCCTTGTGGAAATTGAGTCATTTTGGAATGGGTAAGACAACAGGACTTACTCCAATGTTGTAAATGTGTTAGACTCGGTAGACCGAAGAACACCCCACCCCCCACCTTGTCCCAACAGGAATTAGCATGTAGCATGACCATTACTGGTGCCAACGAGCCATTGGAATGGTAATGCATGAGTGGTTGCAGAGTGGGGGGTGAAAATATGGTATGAACAGATAGAAAATAAGTTATTTTGTTGCTATACAATCCATTCTTGTTTTGTCTTTCATTATAATTATATAGGTTTTATTTTTATTTTTCTTGCAGCTATGCCCATTTGGACAGTTTGTGGAAGTGAAATTCACAGCCCTTGCTCAAGTATGGAATGCAGGATGGTGATTTCATGTTGTCCACAAACATTTTACTTTCCGGCGACAACTATGGAAAAGTAATGCAACTAATGCAACAGATCCAGTGAAGCAGTTGTGGCAGACCATCAGAACAAGTGTTGTGACCCGTTTTGCAGCAGAAGGATAAGGTGGTTGTCCTTGATGAGACAGTCTTTTATTGCCTTATTTGGATTGCCTTTATTTGTGTGTGATTTGCTATGATGGTCAAGAACCTATCGTGGTACCTTTTGTAACATTGTATGTTTTGTCTGCTCCTTAGGTGATGGAAGAATGGATTCCCCAGGTATGGACTGAGTACATGCGAGTGTTATGATGCATACTGTTCAGATACTGATGGCCATGCTGTTTTTTGTGTGTGCAGGCCACTGTGCACAGTATTGCACCTACACAAAAATGTAACTCTTTTGAAAAATTGAATTGAGGAATCTCGAGACATCGTTCATATTGTATCTGTGGACAAGCAAGAGGAACTCAGTGATCATGGAGAAGGAGTGCTTCCTCAGGACGATGGATGTACTCCTTCAGGAGATGCATGTAACAGAGGTGGTCACTTATGCCCATCCACAGATCACGGAATTGCTCAGTAAGGAAAATGCTTTATTATTTTGATTTCTTTGTTTTATGTTGTTGTGTGTAATGGTATAGGCTATACATTTTTTTCCCATAGATCCGGAACGTGGCAAATACAAGGTATGGGGTCTGAAACATTCCCTGGATATTTGGCATGCAGCAAAGAATTTGGGGAAGAAGCTGGGACGAGTATGTCTGACTTCGTATTATAAATTGGTTGTTAGTGTCTGGATTTCTAACTGTCTGGGCAAGGACGGAAAGTATAGCAGTTGTACATTAAATGTCACTAACACTTTTACATCTTGCTTTTAGGCTGGTACGGTAAGGGACCAGACTGAAATCCTGCCTTGGATTAACCTTTTAGGCGCCAGGGATTTTTGGAAAAATGCTGGATTTTGACAATTCAAAAGCTTGTAGCTTGAAAGGGTTTAAAGATAGAGATCTACTGTAAATTAGAAAAATGTTGGGCATGACCGAAAGTTTATGTGGGGTGTAAATATACTCGTCTAATTTGCATATTATGAGGTCATTAGCAGGTGGCCATCTTGAATTTCATAATATTCAGGAAATAGTAGATATTGAATTGATGTTTGAACTTATTTGCATGTTTTTTTTTATTTTATCTTTTTATCCTCATTCCAAATGATCAGAAACGAGGAAACAAACAATAAAACAGGAGAAACGACTAAATTATTACTATATTACTATACTATATGGTAGTAAAACGCATGTGAACAGTAGCCTACTTTGTGATCAGTTCATCAGTAATATTCAGGAAATAATAGATATTGAATGGATGTTTGAACTTATTTGCATGTTTTTTTGTCTTTTTATCCTCATTCCAAATGATCAGGAAAAGAGGAAATCAACAGTAAAACAGGAGAAAGTAGTAAATTATTACTATATTACTGTGCCATAGTAAAATGCATGTGCCTATTTTTTGATCAGTTGACCAGCTATCTGCCCAATCAGGTATCTAGGTGACAGTTTATAGTTCTTGAGAGTACGGTACCTCTCATTGCATGGCATGGCACAGCGCACAGACCTACCCCACACTGACTGCACCGTGTACCGCGGCCACTCCCACCTCTTTGGGGCACTGGATCCAGAGCGCTCTGACTGGATCCAAAGAGCTAGTGCTACTTCCAGCCCTATTTCTCCTACCCCTGCTGCCTCTACCTCTAGCAACAGCTCTCCTATGGACACTACGACCACGTCCACCCCTGCCACCCCCATCCCCGTTGGGCAAAGGGTCGAAATGATCACTTGTTTGTGCTTCGTGAACACTCTCGTCTTGCACGGCGGCACCATTGCGCTGCAAAAATGTACCGCGAGAAGCGCGATTATTAGATGACTGATTGTCATTTCCAAAAGGCAAATATTCCCCTTCAGAGTCAGAATCGGCGAATAACATTTGCAACACATCCTCACGGTACAACTTTTTATTAGCCATTTGGCGATTTTCTCTCACAAATCTCACAATTTACTCGCACGCTATGAACTGAACTGCTTCCGCATCAATGACACGATAACTCACTTGCTCTGCTATTTCCTCAAACACTTTGAATAGGAACATGACGTCATTTTGGTCTAGAATCGAAGTACTACATGTCTGCCATCTAGTGGTAGGGAATACAAACGAGATATTACACCATATTAGGAACTACAGTCTATTAAGCTTGTCACAGTTGCGCTAGACATTGATCAGGTGTGTTTGATTAGGGTTAGAGCTAAACTCTGCAGGAAAGTGGATCTCGTGGGCCAGGTGGGCCAGA